TAATGTCTTATGATTATGCTCAATCAACTGCTCAGCAGGCAACATTGGTGTTTCTGGCGCGTAGAATAGAACAAAAACCAGAGTTGCGACCTATCACAATCACGATCGCCAAACAGCTGATGGTAGTAACGCTTTGTACATTCCTATCAATGTGCTCGTCGAAGCTCTCTCTATGACCATCCATCAAGTTAACGAAAGAAGTAAAAAGCAACTGGTGAATGTCGTCTTCTGTTGTGATCCATCACCGATCTGGTCATTCCTGACAATCACGACACTCATCTGTGCTCGTTTTGAAGCAGTTGCTGCTTTGCTTGCTAATGTTAGTGTGTTGGTGAGTGAGCCCAACAGCTTCCGTTTAATGTTGCCTGCTTTGTTTGTAACTCACACACTCGCGCCTGCCGAGACGAACTTGGAATGCGTAGGCATTGTTTTCATTTACTTCTGTCGTTTCGCTTTTTCTCATGATCGTACTGCAGAAGTCTTCACTGTTTTCGTTGTGCTTTTCATTATCAGCAGCGGGTGTAACGTTTTGCTTGTGAGCAGCGACCATTGCTGGTGATTGTTGTTTGCCATGGCTCTAACTATCACTAACTAACTATCGGTTGATGCGAAGACGAGTGTCACGTGAGTGTCATGATATGTTGCATCACTGGCAAACACATTATGGCTACTATGTGACACTGCAGAATACAGTGTTGCCCACAAAACAGTTGCTTGATCATGCCATAATATTATCAATCTCTTAAACAATTAATAACTATTTAATTTGATGTTTGGCTGAAAAACAATACTCCGCAAAGTTGTAGCTGAGAAAATTTTCCAGAAGAATAGCTATAGAAATTTTTAACGGTGCAATATGGAAGAAGGATAGAAGACTACGAAGAAAAAGTTTGGCTTACCCATTGTAATTCCCATATAAACTTCAAATGGTTTGTGCCCAGTCAGTTTCTTACCCAATCAGTTCAATCCTTGGGAGGCTAATCTAGACCCGATTTGGCACCGATTGAGCACTGTCGAGCGAAAATGTCAATTTTTGCATCAGTCTAGTGGGTCACCACCGATATACCACCGATTCCTAGTCTTGACTACTTCAAACTAGGGGAACAGGTTTTTTTCAGTGATCAAAGGAACACATCTTAGTCCTTTTTACTTTTTATGCCTTGAATGTGACAAGACTCGGCTTTGTCCACCGAGGATGATCTTGAAACAAGGAAAAATGAGTTAGTTTGTCTTCATCCATGTGATCTAATCTTCTATTCGTTGTTCCATAGTTTGAAGTGGTAATGACTAGGGTTCTGATGCATGGTCATTATCGGTGTCTTTCCTTCATTTTGTAGCTAAGGAATCCAATTTTGACTGACTTGGAGGGTGTTTCAACACTCCGAAGGGTATAAATAGCGAGACTTTTCGATTAGAATCGATTCTTTGCGATGAAGGCAAGAATGACAACTGTATCAAAACCGAATACTTCATCATTTATCAATAGTGATGGAGTAATACGGCATGCACTAAACTAAGGACACGGGATATACTACAATAGATCAAATTACTGGCCGCATGGGTGTTATGTCCCGAACAGAGAAAAAATATATTTATTCATATGTTTTTTCGATGTCATGTTCGGATCTGCTGGCATATTTAGATAATGTGTGTAATTTTAAATTTCCTGCAAAATTATTAGATGAGCCCATCTAAAGCCATCCTTGTAAAATTCAAGTGACGTTTAATTTGACATGCATGTAAATTTCAAGTCGTGTAAATTCAAAACCGAATTTATTTTTACATGAATACGCATTCTCTTTGTATCAGTTCAGCTTCGAACCTGTTCGGATACGGTTGTGTATAAGTTTGTTTCTGTTTTGTGCGTGCGTTCGCTGATTTTGCCAGATTAGCGCTGGCACTCTGCCTCCCGGACGGTTATACGTGTGTGATTGGTGGTTTTCTCGCTTTCCGAGAAGTTTTGGAATCGAAAAAGAAAACGTGATGCATCATGTTTGCAGGCATCAGAAGAAGTGTCGCTATCTGCGTTGTTTGTTTTTTTTTTTTTTTTCTTCGCTTGTGCTCCCGGTACAGAAATTTGTGGCGTCGCGTGTGATAGTTTTTGATTTCAGTTTGTTTACGCGTTGTATGATTTTGTGAGCGGTCGCTTCGTGTTCGCGTCATGGAGCAATCGACTACATTCGACCAGAGAATTGATCCCCGTAGGGCGGGTCTATGATCGGAGCTACTACACCAAGCGTGACATAGCTGCTTGCAAGGGATTCAGTTGGACTGATTTGGTGAGATTGTTCCATTTTTCTACTTTTGTCTATTTAAACTTAATTTCTATGAATGCGTATCGTTTGGAATCATTTGATTCGGATGAGACTCTTAACTTTTATTTGTTTACATTGTGTTTCAATTGGTATTCTTAAGAACTTCATAAAATAAGGTTTCAATATTTAAATTGAGCAGATCGATTAGCCTGGTGGCTGCCGCTTTTGCTTACTGAGTAGAAGACCGTCGGGCATCCACATTGTAAAGATTCCCTATTTTCAGCTTTTTTACAGGCTGGAGTTGTTGTTTGAACCATTTAGTTTATCAATTTAAATTATCTGTATAACAATTATTCACAAGCATTCTTCCAGGTCAATTCAAGAATAGTTTGATGATGATAAATCTTCATATATTCACATTACAGTTATGACCCGATCCTGTCAATCTCTCCGCGCATCAGACTGTTATTTTTCAATAATTCCACATAATTGTAATTTCATACCTTCCTCCTTCAAGATGAATGTTTACGATACGCATACTTTGCTAGCTGACAAAATGGGGTCATTGCTGTATAATTATTCTCTTTTTGCAGCCTTCATTCAGACTGGATCTATTGATTTAAATTATTTGAGTTTTCTTCCAGCTCTTTGATGACGGAACATCACTAGATTTATACTGTAATGATTCACTCTTACAGCTTTCACCCTGGTTTTGTCTGTTGATTTGATTTGTTTGAATTGGTTTTCAGCTCTTTGGTGTTGGCAGTCGCGGACGATCAATTTTGCTCATGCTCATGCTCTATGTTCATTTTCAGCATTTCGATGATGGAACGTCTTCAGATTTATATTATAAGGGGGCTTATTACGGATGTCACATCACGGTGAAAAGTTGTCACTTGTCGTCACGGTGAAGTGTTTCCCATTTGATTTGTACGGTAATCACGGCTCTTATTCTGAGTATCACTTTCTTATCACCGTGTAGTGACACCCGTAATAAGGCCCAATGATACACCATTTGGTTTTGGCTTCGGGCAAATCCAAGTATAATGCATGATAACACTGATTCATTTAAAACCATGGTCGCATCACTTATCAAGGTGAATCCTGATCCAACGAACCCAACCTACTAACAAAATCTCCTTTTCTGTGTCTTTTGTTGGAAATTTCAGGGTTACATCTTCCTTATTGGGAGCTGAGGAGACATAGAGCTGCATCATATTGTATGTAAAATAATTATTATTTTCATTGCGGAATACCAGTTTTTTTATCCATATAAATGTATTTTCATTATTACGTATTTTAATGTTCTGATATATTTCATTTCTCCATTACATATGTTTACTATATATATAAATAAATACTGGGTTGGGAGGGAGCATCAGGGTATCATTTGACCTGAAACTGGACGATTGGAGTGGTATGACAACCGGAGTCTAGGAGGGAATAAACACTATCATTTTCTTTATCCTACCGATTCGATTGTGATGGTGTGAATTCTACTCCAACAGTTTCAGTGAGATTGACGCGCCCTTCTTAACAAACCATCCTGTAGGAAGCTTAATAAGTATTGCGAATTGCGTTATTCGATTTGTTGGATCGTATCGTTGGAAGGAGATTCTTAAATTCCCGTGGATTTCGCGTAAGTGTCTCTGCTTACGGGTCCACCCCACCGTTTTTGGCCCTTCATACAGCGATATTGTGAATTCAGATCGGTAGCTCAAATTGATCTTGCTATTAAGTGGAGCTGCATACAAGACAAGATCTTCGAAGGGATGGTGGCTACCTTACATACATACATACAATACGCATTCTCTTTGTATGTGCATGGAAATTCGTGTAAAATTACAAAATAATTTTAACTGTATAGTTCTACGAAGTTTTGTACAGTTAACATGAATCGTCGGCACTGTAAAGTCAATTTGAATGAGCCTTATCAAAGAAATGTAGGAACAAAAAAAATTCTCGAAACAGATGCTCAATAAATAAAAAAAAACGTATAAATCACACTCCGTTGCACCAAAGATTCAAGACGCATATTGTTTTATGGAACTCTTATACAACAAACACAAGTAAGATTTGTTGCTTAAGTGTTTCATACAATATTACGTAGCATATAACTTAATTTGAAGCATGATTGAAGGTCATCCAAGCAGTACATTGAAACAGTTGAGTATCATTATTGAGACCTAAAGTAGGTCAAGCAACAAACTTGAAACAATTTTGTATCAAGATGTACTTATTGTACCATTTAAGGGATTTCTGGGCAACTCATGCAAACAAAAAAGTTTACAATTTACTATGTTCTCTGTATTGTTGGAGTAATCTCGTTGTCAACGTCTCGTCGTCGTGTGTTAGACACAATCTCTAGCTTTAATTTATAGAAGTGATTGAAAAAAGCAACCAATATACGAGCTAATTTGGAGAAATTAATTTTGAGAAAGCAAAACCAGTACACACGCAACTTAATTTACAATCCATATTTAATTTTTAATTCTCTTAGCCTGAACCCTGATCTTTATTTAATTCTATAATTTTGATTTGAACTTTACCATCCGTGTGTCCAAAATCTGATGTGATAGTGATTTTATCTACTGATTTATTTTGTCGTTACGTCTATCACCAGCTCAACATCAAAGCTGAAAAGCTTAGATGTGTTCAGCAATGTAAACTATAAAAGACATATCTACTTGCCATCCTATAATAGAATCACCAAATTATAAATCAAACAATGCACTCTGTACTTACGAGTAATCATGTTTGGCGTAGCAATTCCCCAGGAACCGGCACTGCAGCGCATTGCACTGATACTGCTTGACGGCATCCACCTCGTACGTAATGTTGAACCCGTACACATCCAACAGCCGATCCAGCGCCCGTAGATGCGTCCCGTACAGGTCATCCATGGTGAACTTAATTTCCAGATACGGACTGTTGAACTTGATCCACGGCACATTTGTCACATCGTCTTCGGAAAGTTCAAACACATTCATACTGGGCACTTTGAAATCGGCACTGTAGTACATAAACTCCGTAAATCGAAGTCCACTCAGAACGTACTGCTGCGTCAGGTACACCACAATTGATACGTTGCTTCCGACCGCCATGGTGGAAGCATCAATTATCCAGGTGCAGCTAATGGGAATCGGAAACCGTTCCGGAAAGTTGGGTGTCTGTATGATGCCATGGGTGGCCGTCAGAGTTCCTCCGCATAGGTGCGACGAAGCGGACAGTGACGGCCGATCTTCTATACCGAATCCATCGGAATCAGCATCACCACCACCGCTGCCACCAGAGCAGCTCGTTAGGATCAACAAAAGCAACAGTAGCAAGGCAACCGGGCTCAGTTCGGCCGGAGCACCACCACTTGTCATCGACAGCTTCCCGGATGTGGCCGGTGGTCGATTCCAGTTCAACATAATCTCACCTACCGGGCAACATTCGGGCAGAATATTAATGATGGGTCAATATTGTCATCGTTAGCGACGAACATTGGCAGCAGAAGCATCACTTGGTGGTCCACCGGTGCATTTGGTTGCATTGAACTTGGATTGCCTATGCCCGCCGATATGTATCGATTTAATTATTTTTGGGACCTGTTCGGCTAGGTTCCACCCGCGATGCAATGAAAGTTTTCTTTTTTTTTATTATTTATGGATGGCCTTCGTGTGGAGCAGCGGTTGTTTGTTGATTTGCTGTGGGGATGCAATTAATTTCACTGTTTATGAATAATTTGGTGGTGTTGGCGTAATCAATCATGTGCGGTCCGCTTTAGTCACTGAAAAAATAAGCGGAAAAAGAGAAAAGTGATAATTTAATGTTCAATTTTCAAGGATCGATTGATTGATGAAAAAGTGTGTCATACAAATGAAAACTTATCGTAGTTGTTAATTATGTGGTGTGATGGGTGAGATTATTTGTTTCTATCCCGAATAGAAATTAAATCGAACGGTGAAAGATCACTTTTGTTAGTTTTTCATTTCCGTTGTAATTACCATAAGCCCAGTGATACGCAGTTAATGACTTATATCATGTTTGGTAATGATTCTCAGAATAAGAAATAAATACTGCCTCGCAGTTTGTTTCAAGATTGAAATACTATATGACATGATAACAGAAATACATTACTTATGAAAAACCGAATAATCGATACATTCGACTAAATTTTAGTTTGATGCAAGTAACCGCGTACTCTGTTTTGAACGGTCAAAAATGTCATGTCCAGAATCCTTTTGCCGGACGAAATCCACCGGAACGAAACGATGGCTGAACAATGCGAACCATTGATACCCCGCGTATCTGCAGAAATGGCCTCAACTCCATTTTGTACTTTGACTATTGGATGGGAGCATACCATCAATTACTGTCAATGGTCGAAAGGTACAGTAGCAACACCTACCCCACCCGTGTCCCCTCGAGATCGTCAAGTCGACGATGACAGGAGCACATATCGTGGTAGGGGTAAACAATAGTTGCAATTTCCAAACCTACGACTGGATGCCTTCCTTCAAATAACAATTGAAGTGCGGTAAAAATCGGTAGAACTGTTTCAAACACACAGTTGGTACTTGAACGGGTCGGTTTTCATCTCTTTTTGCCAGTGGTGGCGGGGGGGGGACACCCCTCACCATCCCTCTCCAAAGGGGGAGTTTGGTAAAGAGAGATGAAAAAACCGATTTGTACCTTCCTTAAAAGTTGTCCTAGTTCGCTATTCTAATATCTATATACAATCTTCACACTGCCGTACTCTAACGGAACTATCAACTCTATGCTTTCATCTACTCCATCTATCGTATAAAAATTACCACTACAGTCTGTTATTTGAAATTAGCATCTTCAACTATCCATTTTGTAAACAAACCTTGTAAGGCCATTTTCTCGTAAACTGAAGTTCACCAAGGGAAACCAACATAATGAACAGGTAGGGGAAATTCTCCTCTACCCGATTATGGTTTAGGTTTGCGAATGTAGGTTTCGGTTCACGAGAAAATGGCCTTACAAGGTTTGTTTATAAAATGGAGTTGAGGTCATTTCAATTGTTGGTCTTGAATTGTCTAGTAACTTCTACGAGTAACCATAGGAAAGATCGGATAACCAATCCCGGTGGGACCTTGGTCGTATGCTGAAAGGGAAGGGGTGACTCCTCTCTCCGGAGAGTGCAGTCTTCGAGCGTCTGTTCACCATAGAGGTGAGGCTCAAACCGGCGTCTGTTCTCCATGTTAGGAGTGCCTCATCACCGTCCTAGTACCAGCTTGGGACTCTAAACAGAGCTGTACATGATGGTCCTCCGGCGAGACCCTACAAGCCAACCGTAAAACTCAAATAGTACAGGAAACAATCGGCATAGACCCAGGCAACGAATACGGACTAGCAATTGGAAACTCTGAACATGAAACTGTAAGTCTCTAAATTTCTTGGGAAATAACCGCAATCTTTTCACTATACAAAACATCGTAAAACTATAGTCAAAAGGTACATTACAATAAACACTTTATCTTCAACTATCCAATAAGCCTCCTCCATTAGAACGGGCTTCCAGTAGTTTCATTGTATGACAGTATCGCCAACGAGGGAATAAGCACTTGCATTGCAGCAATGGACGCAAAACGCGGTCATCACTCGCACACTCATCACATAACGGTTGATTTACAAAGCCGACGACGCCTCGACCGAAAAAACTGCTGATGAAGAACAATGAGGAAGACCACATAATGGTTGCTGCCGAGTAAACAGACGATCGCGTGACCCACATCGAGAGTGATCTGCTTCTGTCAACAGCCGAGTGAACACTGTTCCTAAGTCGCAACTGACTACGCGCAAAACCTTGAAGGAGCGCTGCCGGATGAGGGAGAGCTGACCGAAGTCCCTCTTGAGGACTGCTGGGATAGTGTCAAAGCAGCCATTAAAACAGCGCAGCAGAAGGAACGGAAATCGACGAAACGGTTAGTTTGAGGAGGAGTGTCAGACGATTTTAGATGCAAAGAATGCAGTGCGGGTGATGATGTTGCAGCAAGGTACCCGTCAAAATGTGGAGCGCTGTAAACATTAGTGAAGATAGCAAACTCATCTTCTACGGGATGAGAAGCGTTGCATAGAAGAGGCAGAGTGCGAAGAAATGGAACTGCTGTATCGTTCACAACAGATCCGCAAGTTTTACAAGAAACTCAATGGATCCCGCAAAGGCTTTGTGCCGCGAGACGAATGTGTAGTACACATATCATACAGAGTGGACTTCAAAAAATGGCAAATAACAAAAGCTTTGAAAGGAGAGTACAAAAAAAGTAAAAACAACATTCAGAATAGACTGTATGAAGCATTTGGTGTCAGGGTGGATCAACCAAGAGTGGGTGTAGCAGGAACCAGCACAACTGGAAACGTTTGCCGACGAGCATTCTCAAAGCCTCAATTGCTGAGTAGCGCTTTGGATATCAACGTGGAACTTATAGACAGATTTCGAAACATTTTGATTGCAATAAACTGCCAAAAACCGATCAACCCCGAAATACTAGACACATATTGCAAAGAAACGTATCGTCTATATCTGCAATCATGCTTGGCATGCACAGTTGTACACACCAATTGCTCATTTGTTTTTAACTTTTCACTCAGTTGTTGAAATTTAGTTTTCTTTAAAGTAATCAATAGATTAGGATCATAGTTTACTGTAGACATGCAAAGAGTAGGTAAACCTTATCATTTGAATCAACATCAATGAATTTTTACACTTAAAGTTCGAGATGTGTGGCGAAGATTTCTCACTTCATTTTTGCCACGCAAAATCAAATATAGTTTATTGCTAGAATTAAAATCTACTTTTTCTTACGTACCTATTACAAGCTTAAACTTTATTCTATCTACTGTTTTAAACAGAATAATGTTTTGTCAACTGTGTGCAAAGTTATTAGCAAATGAGCAGTTCGTGACCAAAACTGTGTATGCCAAGCATGTCTACAATTATTTAGGGGAAATGACGGCTTCGGCATGACAGACTATTTTCAGCAACACAAATTGAAACACTCTTTTCACTGGATTTTCTTACGAAAACACTTCGCTGAATGCATGCAAACGACTCTTTATGCTTTCAGCTTCAATTTGACTATATTTTTACCACTGAGAAAAAGCAATCTTGCAGGGCTTTCTTGAAATGAAACACACGCACTACAAATTGTAGCTGATTTCGAGCTGCCGATAATAGAACAGCAGATTTACATGCAGTTCAAATGGAACGGTTGCCGAAGAAAAACTGGTTGCCGACAATACTCGCTCTCACTAGAGAAGATTGGAGCTTTGTAAAAGCGTTTCAAAACAGTTTTTGACAATTCTTTCGACTGAAATTGTTAGAGCAGCTGGCAGCAAAAGATTGTAAACAAACCAATACTGCATATGTGTGCGTTCCTTAGAGAAAAAGGCTATAGAAAGAAGGTCGCTGCTTAGGTTGCCGAGAATACGTAAATTCCCCTAGTTGGTATAAAATTCCAGCTACAGTGCATAAAGTTCTCGCTCATGCAGGAGATATAGTGATCTATTCTCCAGCACCACTTGGAATACTAGCCGAAGAAGCAACCAAATGCCAGCACAAAAAAATTCGAACCCATCATGCTAAGAAAAGATCAAGAGTGAAAAATTTACATGATGTTTTCATAAGAGCCATGAATGCCTCTGATCCTTTCAGAAGTTCGCTTTAAGTTAAAGTTAAGTTTAAGTAATCGATTACATAAAAAATCAATTCATAAATATCCCGCAGTTGTACAGACATTTCTTGTATTTAAGAATAATAATATTTCAATAGAAACAACTTAAAATAATTATTGAGTGACGTTGATGAAATTGACGATGAAATTGTTGAAGATGCAAATGTAGAAAATGCGTGAATAAATATAACAGCTAACATTAATTTAAAACTTTATTTTATGGCACAGTTACCCAAACACTTTACTAATATAAAAAAAGCTTTGCAAAAGAGATGAATGCTTCCGTAAAATTTCAGAACACTATCAAAAATTCGATTATGATTGATTAACATTAAAACAATGACTTTAATCAATAAAAAAATATTGGGGATAGATATTTACCCCAATTCAACGTATCGCGTCGGCACTCTTTCACTTACCAGACAATAAAAGTCACTTTATGAGGTGACTCTCCATGCAAATTAAATGTAGAGTCTTCTCACAAGGCGTGACTTTCATTGCCTCGCAAATGACATAAGGTCAACCCGATGTACAGAAAAGGGGTGATTGCTTAAGGCCTTGATCTTGACTTGTAAAGTTCCATCACCTTTTTGCTCCAGAATAGTGAAGAGGGCACCGAATACCATTCTGTGATTTACATATAACATATAACAAATAACAAAATATGTAATGATTTTGAACCTCTCCCCACAACGTGGTCCAACGTCCATACAAATTTCTGAAAATTTGTATGGATCGTGGTCTTTCGTCCCCTCCTAAATTGACTACGTGGTTTCTGCATGGCCCCTAAGATGCATCTTGCGTTGAACATCATTAGTAGGGACCTGATGGCATGTCACATACGTCGAAAATTTACGAGTCAAACCACATTGATTCAAAATATAATAAAATATAATAAGAAGTCATGTACAAAAATATCTTGAAGCTAACAATTCATACCCATACTATCATAAATCAATACAAAAACGCATAAAAAGCACGAAATTATTTGTGTCTACCTTCTTGTATGGAGATTCCCCACTGTGCTGTGGTTGACCAGTCAGAATGGGAAAACTCGTGAAATTAAGATTTACCGGGAAAATAGTCA